CCCAAATCTGATGTACACGCAAATTAGCTCTGATAATCTATTCCAATGGTTTGCAACCTGTGGTATGTGGACCCTGTGTCAAAGGGGTCCACGAAAGATGACTATGATCAATCAAATGTATGTGAATACCCGCACTTACAATTCAAAGGGGTCTGCACCTCCACTCAACATTTCCAAGGGGTCTATACCTCCATTCATAATTTTTTAGTGTCCACAGATGAAGAAAGGTTGAAAACCACTGATCTATTCTAATAGTTTCTTTAAAAAAAAACAAAGTTTGGCTGATCATATTCAGACTCAGACAAAGTTTAACTTAGTCTATCTTGGCCCGAAGAGGACTAACCTCAGAGGCACCTAATGGTACATAACACACTAAAAAAGTGTGCGCTTGGGGTTTAATTTCCTTAACTTTAAGAACACAGTTTACAATTAAAGGATGTGCTTCAGTGGTTTTATACCTCAGGGAAGAAAGAAGAACAAGGAAAATATTTTGTCAAGAAAGGGAGGAAACAGAGGAAGAACCCCAGAAAAGAAAGGTGAATTCACCCATACTTACCTCAGGAGACCGGCAGGTCACACTGGTGCATGTGGCAGCCAGGCACATTTTCAGAGTGAGTGCTCATTCTGAATTGGCCTGGGATGCGCTGGGCCAAGTACTTCCGGCCCCAGAGAGGGGCACCCCAGGGGAGAACCTAGCACTTGGAAGCCAGAAGCACTAGGGAGCTCCGCTACTGATGTTGATCTGCTGAGAGCCAAACAGGATCAAAGCACCGGGGAGAAGGCAAAGGAGATCGGAGGACCTCCACCAGAGGAAGTATCGCCATGGAAGTCCAGGGTGATGGGATATGATTGGGCAGGAACCTTTCTCTCAAAGAAAGCAAGGGAGAGGGAAATGGCGAGGAGCCAGGGAGCTCAGCCCTCCCAGAAGGCAGGACTACTATTGAGGACTGTTCATTGGAGCCTGGAGGGATGGTATTCAGTTCTTTTTTTACTTTGTGTACTTAGATCAGCTGAGAGGGTTTAAATATTTTTTTCCCCTTTTGATATACAAGTGGACTTATCAGATTGTCCCAAGTGAGGCCAGTGGCTGGGCTGCAACCTGGACCCCTTAAGTCTGGAAGGACCGAGGTTTGTACAGCTCTGCCTGGGGAAGAAGTCACTCCAGAAGTTATTGTGTTTTCTTTCTTTGATTTAACAACTGAGGTGTGGTAAGGTCAGGGTAAAGGGGAAGGAGGAGCCCCATAAATCCATCTGGCCAGGTGATCCAAGGTGATTCCCCCCTCCCCCCTTTTCTTTGCAAGAACCTCCTGCTAATACTAACCAGAAACCTTAAAGATGTGGCAGGTGAGAATACAACATCGGGGAGGGGCAAAGGAGACAATTATCATACCTCCTTAACCCATTAACGGTTGAGGGGGGGAGACATCATCACACTGAGGACCCAAGCCCTATAGCACCTACCATCAACATATTTATTTAGAAATACTGTGTCCCAGGGGAGCTGGGACGCCGAAGGAACCCCGGGGCAGCAAAGAGTCCCACTTACCTCCTGCAGAGCCAGAAGAGCCGGAGGAGGCGCGCACGCCGAGGACGCCGGCGCGGGTGATCAGCCGGGCGTTTATCCGGCTGCGGCAGAGCAGCGGGGGCGGAGGATGCCTCCCGGAAGGAACAAAAAGTGGCCCCACCGAGGCAGCGGGGCGGTTGAGAGGAGGAGACCGGAGGAGCAAGCTTCTGTGAGGAGGGGATCAGCCGCCACACGCAGCGGCAGGGAGAGAAAGAGGCGGAGCCAGAGCAGGCTCCGAGCGAGTGAGCAAAGAAACTGGCAGCAGCGCTAGTGGAGGAGCTGGCTCCGCGGTTGTCGGCAGAGCCGGTGAGGAAACTGGCTGCAGCACCGGCAACAGAGCTGGAGGAGGAGCTGGCTGGGTGACAGACAGCAGAGCCGGTGAGGAAACCGGCTGCAGCACCAGCGACAGAGCCAGAGGAGGAGCTGACTGGGTAACAGACAGTAGAGCTGGTGAGGAAACCAGCTGCAGCACCAGCAACAGAGCCGGAGGAGGAGCTGACTGGGTGACAGGCAGCAGAGCCGGTGAGGAAACCAGCTGCCTCACAAGCGGCAGGATCGGTGGAGGAACCGGCGCATTGCAGGCTGTAGTGCCGGTGAGGTAACCGGTCGCACCATAGACAGCAGAGCCAGCGGAAGAACCGGCTGCATCACGGGCCGCAGGATTGGAGTAGGTGCCGAGGTGGAAGGGCCGGGCTGGCGCCCCAGTAGGCTGTACACCCCGCCTGAAGACCTTTATTGACGGCCGGCAAGTCGGGGGTGAGAGGGTGGCAGGCCAAGGACAACGTGGGAGCCAGAGGAAGTCGAACTTAAGGTGGCGAGTGGCCGAGGTGTAGGGGAGGACGGAGCCCTGAGAGTACCCGCCGAGGAATGCGCCGACCCTGGGGGCTGCCCCAAGGGAGGACCCCCCACTGAAGTTCCATCCAAAGCCGTGGCAGGCGAGTTAAGGGGTCCTCCTGACGTCAGCAGGGGTAACCTCTGGGGCTCACCCATAAGCCCAGGGCACACGAGATTTTGGGCCCGGGCAAAGGCGGCGTGGGAACACCTATTAGAGCAGAGGCGGGCACATACTGTAAGAATTTGCCATGACTTCTGAACTCGTTAATATTTATATACGTTCCATAGATGTTACAGTGCCCAAAACGTGACAGTGGTTGGTTTTCATTTCTATAAACTAGTGGTTACCATATGTCCATATGAAACGGTTTAGGCATAAAAGAGATTTTTTAAAGAATAAGTTCAATAAAATATACCATAGTGTAAGTATATGACTTCACAATTCCATCCAGGAAGAGCACACACCAACTGCTGAAACTTCCTTAGCCTGACGAAGGGTTTTTGAACCCGAAAGCTTGCTTAATAACTTTTCTCCAACTATTTGAGTTGGTCTAATAAAAGATATCAAATTCACCCAAGGAATCTTGTCTGCTTATGTCCTTAGACCAACACGGCTACAACCTAAACCCCTGCTGACTTCACAATTAACTCACAGCTGCAAGGGTTTTGCTGTGGACTATAATTACATTGTTGCATGAGTGCTCCTAGGAGGAAGAGAAACAGTATTTTCCTGAAGATAGGTGAAATGGAAACACCCTCTCAGATGTTATCTCAGATGTTAATTCATCTGTTTGCTGCAATGCCAGCAGGAAACTTGTCTTTTTCCCCTCAATACTGCTTAATTATTAGGTCATCTTGCCATGTATGCTTGGAATATCTCAACCATTCTCTTTCAAGCTTGAATGACTCTTGTAAGGGTATGTACTTAAGTAGTATGCATTTCAGATTTTACATAAGTTAAATATAGAAATGTTGAATTACTCAGATCTATCAGAAATGTGGTATTCCCCTCCTAGAACTGGATGCATAGCTCTGCAAAATGTCCAGTTTTAAGTGAACCATGGAAGATGAGTAAAGTTACTGAGCTAGTACAAGGGTTGGGAAGAAGGGATAGAAGAGGGAACCAATGAGCATATTTAACGCACATATTCTGTTATATCCTGTAAATGTGAAAGTTACATCTTGGCAGCATTGGCACTTGCAGAGATCCTTACTGAACTCTGGTGAATAAGCTGAATTTCCATGGGCTTTCCCACTGGAATAGGGCAATCTAGACCAACCAGTTCTAACTTGCATTGACATGTGTGTATTTTCTTTATTTTGGCATGTGATGATCCTGAGTGCGTTCACAGTACTTTTGGCCAGAAATTTGTAATAGCAAAACAAGAAAGGACATACACACGGTAGCTTTGGGGGTATCAGAAATGGTTATATTAGAACCATAAGCATAAGAAGTATACTGACTTTGTGTCATAAAAAACAACTCTTCTTGTGCTGTGTCAGCATGATTTACCATCAACTTAATTGGGCAAATCTTCTATTGATTTCATTAGGAACAAGATTGGGTTTTTATGTGGCCTATTGGACTAAGGGACATACTATACTCAGAGTTAAGTAATCTTTAAGAACTTCCCTGAATCAAAAACTTATGGTGGCAACTTCTTTATTACTGTTGATTATGTACAGTTCAAAACTTCCCAAGTTATAAAATATGACCTGTAAAATTGTTTCTAACACACTATGGCTTCTGCTATGCTGATGGAGGAACAGATGAAATCATCTTACAGCTTTGGGGGAATTTTTTTTCAAGGTTTCTAATAAACTGTTTTCCACTAGAGCAGGCCAGATCTTAATCATGAATTTGTTTTACATCTCTCAACAACCTTTTTTAATCTGGACTTTTAGAAACAACACTTTTTTCATGTGCCTTGATTTTTTGAAACCCAAATCTGGAAATGTCTATATTCACTTGTGAATTGGTAGGCAATTTCCCGGTGGAGAGAGCAGAAATAAAGCTTCATGCCCTAGTCTTATTAAGCCCCTTTCTTCAGGATTTGTTTTACTGTTGATTTAAGCAAATAAGATAAAATATAATAGGCAATAATCTCCAGAAGCATTCCTCATGTTAGCTACCCAGCAGAGGGAAAGGCAAACCTTTGATTCAAACCTTCTTCTTCCTTATATTATCTGCTCCAAACTGTCATGTGACAGTTAGGGACCCTTTTAAGACTTAACCAACTATAACAGAGTTTCCCAACCTTTTTATGCTGTGGACCGCCAAACTGTGGACCGGAAGTGACTGCAGACCAATAGTGACTGTGGATCAGCAAACTGCAGACTAGCAGTGACTGGCATACTGTGGGCAGGTAGTCAACCCTTTTTTTATACACATTATAAAAAAGAGTTGGTTGCTGGTCCACAATGTGCCAGTCACTTCTGGTCTGGCAGCCAGCCCTCCCGTGGACCGGGAGCCAGTGCTTTGCGGCCTAGTACCAGGCTGCGGCCCAGGGATTGGGAGCCCCTGAACTACAACACACTGTCACACCACATTTAAAAATGTATGTTTCAGATACTATTGTCTAATTCCTAATTGATGTATTACCAAAAGTAGGAGATAATCTTGTACTGTATTGTGTAATCTAAGTGTGTCTCAAATTTAGAACTTTTATTTAAATGAAGTATTTTCCATCTAGAAGAATGACAAAAAAAGGATATAGGATATCTATGGATTGTGAACTCAGAAGAAGAATAGTGTGGGGTGGAACATTCTCAATTATTTTGATTTACCTCTTGTACTCGGAGTATTTGTTGGGGATAATGTTGAACAATACAATTTCTGCCAGCACTTCTAGAATCCTATATTCTGACATAAGAATACCATACAAGCCCAGGTTATGCTGGAACTCTGTCTCTGCAGGGAACCTGACTCACTTTGCTCTGGGACATTTAGCATCACCATGATGGAATTATGGGTCCTTCTTGCCTGGAAACCCATGTCAGTTTACTCAATATCTTCTCTTAGAGGGTGCAACAACTGGACTGTGGACAAATGAAAATGGATTGGGGATCTGTATAGGCCATATAGCACCTATCAGGAGCGTTCTGCTTATGTATTTGGTTAGTATCCCAGTTTTACCTCCCTCAGCAATATTTATAAGGCAAAGAGCATGTAATAGGGAAAAGAGACTTCTCTTCCCAAGAAAATGGACTTCAGATCCTTAGGTACTCTAGGAGATTTGTCAAATACATTGGGATATCAGAATTATGCTATTGCCTGACTGTGGAGACTACTTTCTCAGTCAGGATCTCCTAATCCAGACATTCATGCAATTTGACAAACAAGATAATCTCTTCCCTAACAAATTAAAGATTCAGTAGTTTCAGTATTTAAAAGAGGAGATTGCTGAGTGCTAATGCCTTTTCCAGTCAAAAGTAATCTTCTACCTCTGCTGGAATATTTTTTTGTCTTTTAGAGTGAGAGAAGTGAACTGATACTTTCTTCAGGTCCCTTTCATACATTCTCTGCCATTTTGGTAATGATGTTTAAAATATTTCAAGTTGATTTATACATAAACACACATTTTGGCAGCTCTCTCAGTTACGTGGTCCTAACCTAATATGGAGATATTGGATCCCATCCCTGTGCAAAACATCTGTGATATATTCTTATTCTGCAGCCAGTTACAGAGAAGCCAACTACTCCACAGTGGGAATAATTAATTTAGAACATACATATGATAGAATATACATATGGTTATCTCATTTGAAACTCTGGGCACCTGTGCAATGTGGAACTACGAAGAAAGGTTCTTCAGCCATCCTGAAAAGGCAAGCAATCATCATTGGTAATCTATAGCACAACAAAATGTAGGGCAAAGAACAACAGGATAGTGTTGTTCTAAAGTCATCTGGTAAATAGAAATTGATGATACATAGAAGAGCCAATGACTTTGCATCATGTGGATATAACAGGGTGGCCTTTCCCTTTAAGAGGAGGCAGCCAGTCCTGCTGAGTTAGCAGCAGCTGTGGGAAGATTGCTGATGAGGGAGTGTCTCACTGGAGATTAAAACCCCAGAGAGCAAAGCTGTAGGGTAGCAACCTGTGAGGAAACAGTTGTGACTTGGAGGCAGATGGCATGCTGAACTGCAGACTGCTTGGTGGGGCCAGATGGCTGTGCTAGCGCCTGAACCACAGGGGTCCCCTCCAAATGTCCAGGACAGGACAGCAAGATTGTTGTTGATGTGTGTGTGTGTTCTTTGTTTAAAGACTTTTGTTTATTGCTGTGGACTTGCTGAGAAGCTCCTCAGCCAGTGGACACCTGCTGGGAGGAGCCCACAGGTGCTGTAATCAGTTTATAGTAGAATAAGGAGATTACAGAAAATGTCAAGGTTTTTGAATGAGGACTGTAGAAGATAGCCCAAGTGATTTTTTTAGAGAATCCTCCAGTCTTGCAAGTAAAAGAATACAGAAACTAATGCATGAGAATCATTGCCTGTCTGACGAGTGTGTATCTGAAAAATTGTAGTATCATGGAGCATGAGGCGGGTATTATAAATATGATGATCTGCATTTCATACACATGAGGTGCTAATCTTTTTAGTTGGAGACATGCTGAGCAGCCAGTAAGGTGTCAAACTGGCAGCACAAAAGGGAAGGTGCTAAAAAGGTAGCTGTGATATAAATTCACACACAGCATGTTGTGAGAAAATTGCAGCTATGTAGCAAGGAGTGTAAAGGGAAGGTGCTTTCTAATTGCTAATATGTGAATGCTAGGAATCCATTAGTGACAAGAAATTCAATATACTGTAGTTAGCATTACTGAAATCTGGTGGGATGATATGCATAATTGGAACAACTCTGGATATAATTCATTTAGGAAGAATATGGTGGGTAAAAAGCATGTGTATGAGACCCTGCCTTAAAGCCACTGTTGCCTATATTTGCATTACTGATAAATTGGAGCCCCCTGAGCTTGTTGAATTGATATGTGGGTCAATGTGCTAACTAATAAAGCCCAGGAGGAGGTATTGGTGGGGGTCTGTACAGGCCAACAAATAGAACTGGAGCAGTAACTCTTTAAGCATCTGGCTGTAATGTGTGGAAATAAAAATGTGTGGTCTTGGGAGTACCTCAGTTAGGAAGATGTATTCTGGATATCCCAGCAATAAAATATTATTTGAGTTTTTATAGCAGCCAGTAGTAAAATATCATTAGAGTTTTAATAATATCTAGAAAGTATTTGCATTTAACACAAGGGAACTCAGTTTTTAAAACTGCATTCAACATAATAATAAACAAAGGTGAATTAAACGCTGGGCTAAAAGCATGTGGCTGCATAATGATCTTGGCATTCAATAATATGGGAAAACAAAAGACAGTCCAGCCTATACCTACTTGGTGCTTCTAATGGTTAATTAATAAAATTGAAGGAAAATGTGAATGAAATAAATTAGGAGGAAAATTTTAGACAAAAATGTGAATGAAAATTGGGAGTCATTTACAAAAGATTTCATAGATGACTAAAACACCAAGATTCCCACTCAGGAAAGGGGACAAGTTTGGCTAAAAGCCCATTCTGGTTTATTGGGCGAAAGTTGCAATTAGAAATAAAAAGGCAATATATAACAAATGGAAACAATATGAACTGTTATGAATCAGAATTTATGAAGTGTAGAAAATGTGTAGGAAAAACTGAAGATATTGGGGAAAAAACCCATGACTAGCAGGGATAAGAACAATAAGAAATAATTGGAATATATTAGGGGGAAAAAGAAATTGTAGCAATGGAATAGAGCTAGTAGAGAGAGGAATTTTTTAATAATGATGTAGAAAAAGCAGACATGTTCAATAAAATAAAAGTAGCATTATGTGCTCATATCACATGAGAATGATTACGTACTTTCCAGTCTATTAGTAACCATGGATGATGTTAAACAACACCTACCCAGGGATAAGCCATTTTAAAATCATCACGTTACTTGAACTAAAAAGGTGGCTGAGGGAACCTCTTGCCCACCGATGTTAATTTTTAATAAATCTCAGAATACTGAGAACATTGCAGATGACAATAGTGTTCTAAAGTTATACCAATATTTGGCAAGTTCAAACAGGATGACCCAGGTAACTGTTTGGCCTGACATTTATCTCGGTGGGAGTGAGGGTGTAGGTTGCGGGGGGGAGGGGAATGGAAAAACTAATACGGATTTCCATTAATTAAGTGTATTCCCATCTAGATATTTTAAATATCATTCAACCTAGTTTTATGAAAAAATAGACTTGAAATCATGCCTGTTTGACATTCTTTGTGGTTACAAGTTTGGTCAATAAAGGTAACTGTGTAAATTCAACATAGTTTTGTGAGGTGTTTGAATCAGTATTGCATTACATACTAGTTAAAAATATAAGCACTTTGCAGTATCAGTAAAGCACACATTAAATGCATTAAGAAATGGCTAACTAACACGTCAGAAAGCAGTCACCAATGGGAAAATTTCTAGTGGATTTCCACAAAGATTAGTAGGGGGTCCTATGCTATTCAGTACATTCATCACTGACCAGGAACTAAATTATAAAATCACTACAGATTATAAAATTACCAGACCCCCTCTGGATCTGCGCAAGGCTAGGAGGCATTTAAAGGAAGAGCAAAAATGTATGGCATGAGGGTAGGTATTGGGTCTGGCTTTGTGTACACCACAGGCTGTATATCTAAGGAAGTGCGTGCCCTTCAAATAAGCTACTGCACGTGAAGCTGCCACACAGTGAAAGCAGGTTTTCAAGTGCTAATGGCTTTTGCACAGCTAATGCAAGACAGTGTTTTCTGGTGTTTAGCGTACCAGCCTGAGCCTAAGTTGTGTCTTCAGTCCTGCCCCTAGGCTGTAAGTGACTTTGGGCAAAATACTTCACTTTTCTCTGCCTCGGTTTCTCCCTTTCTAAAAAGGGGATATGATACCAAGCTCCTTCTAAAAAGCACTCTGAGAACTACTAATGAGGAATGACATGTATTATTACTGATGTACCTACTTGACAGGTTCATTTGCCTAAAATGACTCCTAGGTCCTAACAATATATAACTATATATCAATATTGATGTCTATAACTATATATAGGTCTATAGGTCTATAGATATAGACACCAATATCAATATTGATATAGACCTAGTTATATATTGTTAGGATCTAGGAGTCATTTTAGGCAAATGCACCTGTCAGGTAAGTACATCAGTAATAATACATGTCATTCCTCATTAGTAGATCTCAGAGAGAGATTCTTCTATTAAAATAACATATTTATTTATTTTTAAACTGGTGAAAAACTTGTCTAATATGGAATTAAGGTTGCCCTGTGACACCTCATAACCTTCTAGTAAATTGAGTTCAGTGATTTGTCTGGAGCCAAAATTACTGTAGGGGTTTAGTTCCTTCCATGGAATACAAAGGATCTACCAGGTTTGTGAGCTGTCTTTCTGAGACAGGAAATCCTTCATTAGGATGATGCTGGGAAATCTTCAGAAATAAATTTTTGCAGAAATGCCCACATAAAAAACTTATTTCCTGCAGAAGCAGATAATTTGGCCTCCACTGACTCAACTAAGTGGTAAATTCTCAGGGTTAGACTGTCCAGTATCATTTCCCTAACACTGGCCAGTAACAAGGTTTAGAGGTAAATTTTAAAAGCATGAAGTAGACCAGGGACGTCAAACTCATCTGGCACTAGTGGCTGGATCAGTGTCAGTGGGTGGGCCAGATTGGGCTGCCCTGGAGCCAGTCCAGTGGGACGCTGCATTCAGTGTATGCTATTTGCTGGCCCTGTGCAGCTCATGCAATGCTCACTGGCTCTGCTCTGGGGTTTGTTCTGAATGTGGTGCATAGACCAGCACAGCATGCATACTTTATGCACAGGACTGGCCCCGCATGCTGATCCAGATCTGGCCCAAGGCTGTCCATGCATGGTGGAGCCAACATATGGCACCAGTTTGGTAGTGAGCCCTGTGC